ATGTGGGATGGCCAATATCCCCGCCATGTGAGCCCGGGAGCCCCACTTTACCCCGGGCTGCACCCCGACGACTACTATTTTTCATCCCGACAGGCTTCCCGCTGTCGTGGAATACCTAATGATAGCGAACTGATGATCATTCAGTAACATGCCAGGCGTCGAATTCTCAATTGCCGTGTTTAAACTGGATACCAGTTGGCTGATGCGGGCTTGGCTATGCCAAATGCCAAGGCTGCTATTGGTCCAACCCGTCCAGCCGCCCTATCTCCCCGGGCCGCCAGCTCAAAGTCCGCGGCTGGAGAGAGTTTGTAAGCGGAGACGGCATATCAAACAAGCGCGAGGTTACCGTGAACGATGATTTAAGATGCCGTCACGTCCTGTATAGAGACATAGTTCTTGGTCCGAACACCTCGGGAAAACCCAAGCGTATGGGTTGGCTGATGTTATGTTACGTTCTAAAGCGGTCAATAAACTCACTATGCTATATTTACACAGGACAGGCAAGGTCTTGAGATTCAATCTCCATGATAGAAATCTAGTCTCCATGGGCAGCCATACACTGGATTTCCATTGAGAGATCATATTTCTAGTCGATATGTACACTTGTCAAAAAGCTTATGCAGAATCAGCTCAGATAGGTCTTGTGCCTTGTCCCTCTTTTCTATTTCATCAGTCCGATATTTCACGTAGGAGAAAAGGAACCAGAACTTCAATTGAATCTCAAGACGCAGCTGTCCTTTTAATAACAATGCCTACTTTCAACTTCTATTTGCTAATTATCATTTGATGTCTCATTATCTTACATAGACATCTGGCATTTGTAAAAAAGACATCTGCGACACAAGTTTGAATGGCATTTATCTAACTTGAGAAAGACGATGATTAAGTCTCTCCCAGCATAGGTAAAGAATATCCAGGCTTCAATTTCCTTCATCATGTCCGCATGCGAAAGTTCATTATTTGCACTCTCCAATGGAAAATAAACAAACAATTATGAACATCACTTTCAAGTTCCAATAGTAATAGCATCCAAACCTTGTCAACTTTTCACTCTTAATCCAGCTGTCATATGTCAACTACTAGCTTTAAGGTGAAAGTGGTCAATGACTCCATCGAAATGTAGAATTTGAATAATACCTTGGTAACAAAGTAATGATGCCTCGTCAGGTCGACAACACGGAAATCGTCCTTGACCATACTAACAATAGCCATACCCACAACAGAGGTGTTTACATTCCAAGTCTTGAATCCATAAAGCTTGATCCCAATTCGTAAGCAAAGCCGATACCCCCAAACCTAGCACCTCGGAAGCAATTTACCTTACTTGCCTCTTTCGTCACCTGACTTTCCCAATCCACACTGCTCAAGGGCCCAAGGCTGAAGGGTGCTCAGCTACCACTTCGCTTGCTCCTCGTACCTCGTATTAACACACCCAATCACCTCAGTCGGACTAGCCCCATACCTCCCGTACCATGGCTCTATCACCTCCTGTACAGTCATTATTTTAATATCTATACAACACCAACCGTCTGCCTACTGCAACAGTGCAACCACCCTACGGTCCATACCCACACCATCCCGTCTCAAAAGACGATGCCCCCTTTCATCTTAAAAATCACTGGCTTCCCCGTTCCGTCGGCACCGGCACTCCGCAAGTACGCAACTTGCAGCGAACCTACCTTACCTTCTTCCCCTTTTGTGCCTTATCTACTTTAGGACGAACGGGACACTATAGCCAAAACGGGTTTAAGACAAGATACCAAAAAAGCGCCAGACGCAACGCGCAAGCCTTAAATCACTAGCCGCTCGGGAATTACGCCAGATTTTTTTCTTTTCGGTCTCGAGCTCCCTCACCCCCACATTCCGACCCAAGTCTTCGTCACCACCTAAACCCCTGTGCCCATCCCGCCGCCGACGACGACGGAGCAAGGGTACATGCTGCCAGTGCCAGCAGCCAATTCTTGATCTCTGGCTTCTCCCCTTTTCCCTCTGTTGTGATTTGCCTCTCACCATCACATTTCAGTGTTTCTCTTTCTCCTCTTAGTATCCGCTTCATTGATCATCGAAACCTCACGGTCCACCCAGCGGTCCATGTCCGAACCTTTGCTCTCCAGCTGTGTGGTTCACCCGTCCCAATCATCGGACAACTCAAAAAGTCCGACAAGCTCGTGCAATTTTCGAATTTCAATCATTCGAACCCGAACCATTATGTCCAAATAAGGTCACCACCACGAGGTTCCCCCCCTTTTTTCTTCCACTTCTCTCTCGGTCTTGTTATCACGTGGCTGAGCGGAATTGCGTCGTCACTATACCCTCTAATCTGAACCTCTTTCTATTTGATCATACCATACTGTACGGAGTACACACACGTACAAGCGCGCGTGCGCGGGCGCTTGTTCCGGCGGGATACCTACCACAACCCTCCATCTCCGCGCAGTAGGTTGCAAAGGGAAACCTCGGGTATCCGGATAGATGCATCAACACCTTCCCAAAGTTCAGAAACAAGACATGGGAGCCGAACCCGATTTTCCGACTCTACTATTTCTTCTACTTCCAAGTTCCAACTGCTGCAATCCATCCACAACTGCAGTCTGCATCACATCCTCCCCTAGTGCATTCAAAACTCCCCCAAGAACAGTAAGAAAATCCCCGTCTCCAGTGTACTCCCTACTCAACCAACAGGAGAAGGTCAAGTATCCGTAGGCACCGGGAGGAAACCCCACCTCCGTGCAGTTGCACTGCCGGATTGCCAAGATGCCAACCCGGCGGCCGGCTTCCCATCAAGCCCTTTCAACCTCTGTCGATTTTTCCCTCTCAGTTCCTCCAGCCCTGCCGCCTATCCGTCTTTACTTGCCTACTACGTGCCTAGAACCGTACTACGTGCCTTACCTCCCCGGGCAGCCGATGATGGATGCCGTGCCATTCACCAAACGCCCGTTCCGTTGATTGAACGTCGTCCTCCCCCTCGTCTGATGCCAATCTCCGTTTACTTCATGAAGACTAAACCCATGTCGTCCCTTTTCCCGTTGGCCACCTCTAAAATACAGAGACTCTAACCCCTTCCCCGCCCGTTCGACTAACTGTAGCGAGAATAAACCCCCCTCCTAGCCTTCCCGTCAAATATATCCTTGCCATAACCACATGCACCAGGAAAATCTTGGAAAAACCAATTCACATCCCTGGCCCATTGAAAGAGTAAGAGAAGCCGACCGCCTGTGTCAAGAAATCCCAATTCTTGGCAGAACCCCCCCCCCCCCCCCCCCCCCCCCCACCTCCCCCCCCCCCCCCCCGCCCGCACACACGAGAACCCCCCCCCCGCACTAAGAAAGCCCCCCCCCCGTCTCACAAAACCACCCATCTCGCGGCACCCCCCCCCCCCCCCCCTCCTCTCTTACGATATGGTGGCACGGCTCTCAGAGGCAGAAAGAGCCTCGTCCACAACACGTGCTCTCCTGCCTTGCCTTACCTTGTCTCGCCTAACCAACCTTGAATGCATACGGAGTACCTCGCCTCACCTGGGCTGAATCACGCAGGCTGTGGCTGCGTCACACATCCAGGCCAAGATCCAAACTTCCCACTTAGAAGCCATGGAAGCCCAGGCAGGTGGTGAACCCGCTGTAGCGCCACCCCCCAGCCAAGAAACCGCAGCCCGGCGCGGCAAAAGCCCAATGCCAAATGCCAATACCGCCATCTTCAACGGGAACCATTTCCATTCCACAGCAGCGCTCTAGGTATCGACACACTAAAAGCCAAGGTATGAAACGGGGCGGGCACACGGATCGGAAGAGATCATAGATCAAAGTCGGGTTTGGATAAAATAATGGGGGGGTGGACAGTGGACTACCAACAAAGCTCCACTTTTGAGATGCACCGCACCGTCAACTTGCATCGACCTCACCGACATTGAGGCAATTCTATCATGAAGGCATGGCCATGGTGGTACGATTCCCTTGCTTCGTTGAAGCTGTATTCGCTTCGTATGAGCTCGATGACTATGTTAGGATAACTTGGGAATATCGATAGGTGCATGTTCACATTGCATATTGTTGGGGACAGTATTGAACGTTTCAAACTTTGGTAAATTTGCTTTCTAAATCCTGCGGACATGGCTTCTCAAGCTCGCGGTCCGGATGTCTCCATCTACGTCCTCTCCTCAGAGGGACAAGAGAAACAAAAAATTCTCTTTGAGAAAAATAAGTAAATAAAAAAAAACTTCTTCAATCGTCAACTCCATTTCGGCCAGATGGAAAGCGTATCTGGTGCCTTTCATCGCTCATGCAAAAAAAGACTCGAAGATGCAACACAACCCAGCGTACACGTGTGGAAGTCCCCGAAACGCCCCTTCCAGAAGAACCTCGGCGCGATGGTGAGCCATTGCTGTCCCTTAGCTTCGAACCTCGATCGCCGGCTTCCTCTCCCTTCTGCCTCGTGTCGTGCGAGGCAGATTTGTTTATAAAAGTGACCAGGCAAGCCCTGCCTATTCCATGGTTGCGCCTGTTACCGCCGACATCCAGCGGATGTCCAACGCGCGATATTTTTCGACAAAGGAAATGAAGCGAAGTAAATGAGGTGGTGATAGATACATTTCGAGCCCCGTTGCCCGATGAGATCGACGCGACATCCAGAGTGTGATGACGATCAGATGTGTACGGCCGTCTGAAGAGTGGTACCGAGTTGATATATAGGAACGGAGCGCCGGTCTATGATGCCGTTGTTTTTTGTTTTCAATGTATCGGATTTAGGTAGATTAGACATAGAAAATATTATCATTGCCTTGATTGGTGCTGCACATTTGCGCAAAAAGCCGCTCATCATGGCGGGTGAGCGGCGACGACCTCGGGGCCATGGAGGTGGGGAGTTCTGGCATCCACTGGGTATCTTGAAAAAAGTAGCAGATATTGCCAGCCCGCAAAAGAAGTGGCCTCGGGTCGGCAGGAGGTTGTGTGGCGGGTGTGCCATCGTGTGAGTTAAATCGTGGTCGCAAAACTTGCGCTCATGCTTCAAGGCAGATCGCGGCGGCGGCTCGGGTCGTGCGGGGGGAACTGGTGATGCCTTGCGTTTGCGTTGGCCTGTGCCGCGAGGTACTCCGCGGATCCGGTCTGGCGACCGGGCTGTTCAGCAGGCAACTTGGTGTCGTCGCGTCTTTGAGGAGCTGCTTGACGGGGAGGGGGTGCGCTGCTCGCCGAAGGGCTGGGCATTCCAGGAACGAGGTCGGTGACGGCCTGGGCAATAGACTTGATGACATATCCCCGAAGCTCGCGGTCCTCGCGGCTGTCCTCCTTCTCGAGTCTGAACTTTTCATCCTTGTTCATGTTGCCGCGACGCAGGCCTCTGATCTCGTTCAGGATGTAGAGCAGGACCTCTTCGGGGCATCTGTTGCGCTCTGCACAGAAATCGCTCTTGCGTACGTATCGGCGGGTGACATCGGTGGCGCCATCGATAGAAAAAGCGATGCAGTAGGACATCTTCTTACCCCAGCCCTCGGTGTAAAGGCGCGGGTTGTCCCATGCCTCCTCACAGGCGTCGACGTGGACCCATCGCTTCTGGTGCTCGGAGTATACCTCAGTCCAGACGTGGTCCTCTGCGTTCCAGATCCAACGAACTCTGCCTCCCATGGCACGGCAAAGCATGCTGAAGCAGTTCGCCCACTCTCCAACACGTCCTCTGCGGGTATGCAGTAGTCTCCAAACATCGCCGTACCTGGGGAATCTTTCGTAAGCGCCGCAGTCTCCGGCTGAGCATTTGTAGAGCTCGACTCGAAGTGCACCGCATGCACTCTCGTCGGGCGTCGGGGGCGTCATGCCTTGGGCGATTGTGGGCGAAAGGCATACAGGGCACGGGGGGTTGTTGACCCAGGTGAAGAATGATCGCTTGAACCATCTGAATAGACAATTAGACTGTGTTCAAAGAATCCAAGTGGAAACATCCAGCTTACCTCAGTAGTGCGCGGATAACGCAATCTTGGTAGCCCCAAGTGGCTTTGCGTCCATCTCCCATACTCTCAGCCTCGGCCTGCATCACTTGGCACTCCTCTTCCGCCTCGCCGTATATCCGGTCGAGGGGTATGCACTGCAGAGCCTCGTCCAACAAACCAGGGTTTTCGTACTTTGTCGGAGTGAGAGAAAGACTGATCATCAGGTTGCGGAATTTTTGTGAATCGCGGTCGTGGGCGGCGGGTGGTGTGGGAATCTTGGGAAGGTGGCGAGAGTAAGCAGGTGGTGTCGGCGGCATTGGTGTTGAGCTGTGTGAAGTTGAAGGTCGACCGGGACCGGGTGATGCGAGACCACGGAGGTTGGCACTGCTTGCGCTCTCTCTGGGTTGAGGAGTGCCTTGGCGAGAGGTAGTTCGAAGTTCGGTCATACGCTTGTCACGAAGAAGTGACTCGAACTTTACCCTTAGGTCGCGAGCCCACTCTTCGCCGTACTCTCCATCGCCGTTCGGGGGGCCTTCGCCCGGGGGGTAACCGTGGCCGTCCATCTCAAAGTCGTCGGTGGTTAAGTGGATGCTAATGTTAAGAGTGTCGAAGAAGGGAGGAGAAGAAACGGATAGAGAGTCTTCGACGGAACTCTCCCGGTGGTCGTCGGGTAGTTGAATCGTATTGGTGTCAGATCAGGTCGGCGAGATGGGTTGACTTAAAGAGTGGAAGTCGTCGTCGTCGAAATTGTTAGTCGTCGAAGGCTGCGCAACTGCTGTGTCTTCCAGTCGGGCTTGGAGCTGCCTATGGTGTTGTTCCCAAAGCCGGGTTGCTTCTCGTCTGCTAGTTGGAAGAGTCGAGGCTCGGCACTGTCGAGAGTTCCTGAGCCAAGAGTTTCTAGCTTGGACTTCCGGGTCGGTCGGGAGTATTTCAGGCGTCGGTCATGGGGGTGAATGCGAGTCCCAGCGAAGCGATCGTGGCCGCTACGGGAGAGTATTTGTTGGTTCGCAAGATTCCGTGCCTTGTCGTCGGTAGAAATCGAGAATCGAATTTCAGAAGGCGAGTGAAGTGCGGTGTCGAGAAGGAAGGGATGGGATGGGGGGGATGGGGGTGTTGAAAGGGTTGGTAGCGGGCGGAGAGGAGGGTGCGATTGGGGAGTGGGCCGCCAGGGGAATTGATGGGAGCAAAAGAGCGGACGTAACGTACGCCAGCAGTATCCGTAAGGTAGCGAGCAAGCGTACGTAGGTAGGTAGAGGTGGGAGAGAAGTTGCGTTGCGTTGCGTTGCGTGTGCTGCGTCTGCGTAAGGCGTAAGGTGGAAGAGAGGAGTGAGGAGTGAGAGAGAGGCAAGGGAAGTGGAAGGGGTCAAGGTCCAGGTCCAGGGGGGGGAGGGGTGTGTATTCAGAAGAGTAGACTTTTGGACACGCAAAGGTGACAGAAAAAGAGGCAGAGAATGGTAGCGAGAAAGGAAGAGATGTGAGTGTGTGAGGCAGGGAGAGAGAGAGAGAGAGCGAGACTGTGAGAGAGGCACAGAACAGAGGGGGGAGTGTACGGTGGGAGCGGGAGGAGTGCGAAAAGCAGCAGAAAGCGTACGCACGCCGCTCTCTGGCTGGCTCCTCATGGGCGGTTTACGCGTAAGCTGTGCAACTCGGACCAATGGCAGGGGCCAGATCGCTCCAGAGTGGATCCCGCTCAATCCGCCCCGGCACGTACCACGACTCCGTCTTTTCTGTCCCAAGTGAGCAAGAGCAATCCAGAGACTGAGGGCAGTGTGCCTTTCCTCTCTCCTTCCTGTCTGCACCTCGTGGATGTACTGTACCTCGTGACATGTATCTTTTCCAACCCTTGTACCTAAGTACCGTATCCATCTTACCTAAGGGATCACGAGTCTTGTGAGCCAATCACAGCCATCTCACTCCTTGCTCTTTTCTCCATTTTGGCGGATTCTCTCGCTCACGTACTCCCGTACTCCCGTCCCCCCGCCACTGGCCAACGACAACACTCAATCATCAGTCAGACGGCTCTCTTTCTCTCCAGACTCCCAGTCACCGTGTCCTATGGCTTCACCCTCGACAAGCACCTGGTCCGGCTACTAGTGACGAATCCTGAATAGAGCCGGTCTACCTTACGTACTGCCCTGTCGCCGTCGCGAGCTTACCTATCCAACGTCCTCCCGTCCTCCTCCCACATACCTTTCTCGCGCCAAGCCCTTCTTGGGCTGTTCAGAGGGGCACAATTTCGAGCTGCGACTCTTTTGCGGTCCTTTCACATCCTTTGCTCTCGTTTGTGCCAAGGCTTGCGTTGCTCTAGCCTCGACGGAGTGCCCTCTGCGGGCAACAATTTCGAGAAAAAGCCAGGCAACGGCGACGCAATCCTCCCCGGTGACGACGGCCGAACGGTCCCTGGGGGCGGAGAAGCCCCCCTCCCGTATCCTACCTACGCAATATACCGACTTGAACTCTGGAGACGCTGAAATTACACTCACGGTTTGCTGGTGACGATTCACGATAGTTTACCTGCTCGTAACTCAATTGCGAATCCGAGCGAGGCTGACGACCTGCGACGACGATGGCAATATTGTTTCTTCTTCTTGGCACCCGTTCTACGGGTTGTGGGCGAGAGAGGTTCATCAGATGGACATGATGAAGCGGAAACAAGTAAAGAAACAAACACCAACCTGAGAACATCCACAGTCTGCTGTCCACAGCAGCTCCATGAATGCAAACCAAAACATTGGAGATTACTAGTAGGGTACGAATACATACGACAAGCACGTTGTAAGTACGGAGCAGATTTTCACCGAATTCCCATCCGCATCCGCGAATACCATCACTTACACTCGGATACAGTACTCCCAGCTAGTCCATTCACCTCGAGAATGCAGACCACACCACACGGCAACGAGGACGGACATTCAAAGGGGACAAGCCTCACTGTCGCACCCGATGTACCGGTACCTCTCGCTTGTACCTAATCAAAGGTTCTGTCACTGGCCAGCGCCAGATCCCACCTCTCAACCTTAGTCGAGTGGGCACCGCATCCCTCCCCTCCGTGCCCTCCACTCCTCCAATTCCTCGCTCTTACGGTTCACCCTGGCACTCTTGGAGAGGGACGACAGAGGCGTGAGGTCTAAGGAGTACCTCTCACACACACCCGCCCACACACTTTTCTCACTCTGACGGGTCTCTGGCAGCCCCAAACTGTGATGACGAGGCGTGGCTGAGGTCTATTTCCAGCATCTGCCCCAGACCAATCTGGGCTGCCCGCCAAGACTTTTACGCAAGTGTCGGCGGAAACAAGACCCCAGATTGGTCCCTCGTCCCAGATCTGTGGCTCAGCCGGCTCCCCAAAGCCTCAAAGCCTCACTCTCAGCACCGCTTTCTTGTTGATTGCCCGCCGCAGCACAAATCACCTGTGGCAGTGGTAGTGGGCAGCCAGCGGTAACCAGCAGCAGCAGCAAACCACAGTCTACCCAGTGTACTATAGACACTTACTACACGCACGGCGCCGCTCTGTTCCCCCCTCCCAGGCACCTCTTTAGGCACTCTGAGACAGTAAGACTCGACGCTCTCTTCCGTCTGTAACTGAACCAGAACCTTGGGGAGGGAAGAGGCCCACGGAAGGCGGCAGCTCCGGCGCCAGGCGGCTGCCGGCCGTGGATGATTACGACGACGATGAGCACTTGCTGCCATCCGTGCCAGTTGTCGACACTTTCAGCATCTACATCCGTACATAGTATCCGTACTAGGTATTGATTTCTCGCCAGCATACGCGGAGGAGCCGGGGATGCGTCGATGAAGCAGGACTTACATGCTACGACTCTAATTGTACAACCTATCCGAGTCCCGAGCAATCGAGGACCCATAATGTCATGAGAGATCGATCATGTCACAAAGGACCGGCACAACACGGTCGAGAAAGGATGGCGATGACAGTGGCCGACTGTCACTCCAATTTTCCATTTTGCGCTCCCGCGCCCGGCAACTACGTCCAGAAACAGCATCCTTCGTCGCCAATCACTCGCCAGTCCACCTCATCTTCTTCGCCGCTGCACATCATTACCCTCATTGCGCACTAACCAATCTCCCATATGCACCTCAGAGGCCAAAAAGTTCTTTGATGGGGTTAATCAAATCAACCACGCCGCCACGACCCTCCCGCTCACGGTCTTTTTGCAAAGACATGCTAAATTGCCCGACAGGCAGCGCGACATTTGCATCCGTCCACGAGGATTCGCCATGTGAGACCAGCTCCGACCATCAAACCAACGGTCACTTCAGACTGGCGCCAACCGCCAAACCTGTACTTAGTATCCCGTGATAAGGGGAGTTTGCTCCAGTATCGCCTAGTTGCACCGTAATGCCAATTTCTTACTGGATGACTGGTTCGTCGCCGGCTGTGGCACACCATCTCGCCTCGCTCCTTTCGCGTCTCTCTCGGCCTTCTGGACCCCTAAAACTTTGTCTCGAGAACCTGGGCAGCTAGGTTGTCCTTATGGGTGAACCGACCTGGTCCCGTTTCGTCGTCGTCCTTGACCTCAAATTCTCGCCTGTGGCTAGTGTCATCCAGAAACCCCCCAGGCCCCCCCACCCATGGCGACGACGACTCAATTCCAGCAAAACCAGAAAAAGCTTCAACAGAGTGCGGCACCTTTAATTCGTACTCTCTTTTCTTCCACCCAAGCTCCCATTGGTCTTTAGCTCCCATCGGCAAAGGCGCCGCAGGGGCTTGACGACTATCTGCACTCTATTTCAGTCAGGTACGCGCTCGAGAAGTCGGATGTATTTGGGTCCTCCCAGTTGTCAGAAACACCCCGGCCTCAAGGTTCTGCCCCATTCGCCTCCCACTCAGCCTCGTTTTCCCCTCCTGGTCCCGGTCTCTACGAAGGGCACTTCGCCTATCCAATTTAGCTGGCCACGTTTCCCCCGATCCCCGCATGTGGTTCCTGTTCTCACGGACTCGACTCGTACGAATTGTGCATGGCGGAGGCAAGGTGGTTGACCTGATGAACGACTGTAGCCTCGTCTGTAGGCAAGCCGTATTACCTTATCGACGCCCGTCTTTCGGACAAACTTCATAGGCGACAACCTCTTGGAGCTTCTTCGGCGGGCCAGGTCTTCCCGAAATCTTCTAGCGGCCGCCCTGAACCATGATTGATAGACTCTCCAATCCTAAGAGATCCTCGCCCGATCCAGGTCTGATCCCACGTCAAATCCTCCTGTCTGTTACGTGTGCTTGCGTAAACAGGTGGGCTCGTCAATCGTTCTCGCAAACTCAAATGTTCACAGGCCTACAGCGGTACAGACTGCTGCTATCGTCTGCGGCATGCCAACGTCTCGCCCCTTTAACTCGACTCGCACAGGCTGGACGAATTGATTGACTTTGATGAGACGAACCAAGCATGTTGGTATTCCTCAGACGGCATCTTGATGAAGACAATCATCCTCAGGCAGATGGATGACGAGTCAACGGGCGACGTGCTAGAGCAGAAGCCCAAATGGCGTCCGTGACTCCGTACGCCGCAAATTGTACCCGCTCGGCGCCATCAAGCCCGATTCTTACCATTCTGGCCATGCTCGAATCTTGGCGACCTCCCCGGCTGGGCATATTGATACTATCGCCAACAGCAGCAAGGATATCGATATCTGTTGCGGTTTGCGTCCCAACGATTCCAAATCTCACGGTCGTCCTTCTTGGGGACCCGTTCTCCAGGTTAAACTCCCCAGAGCCTGGAACAGAGGACCTGATCGACATCCACGATGGCTTTCTTTGGCACACAACTTCTGGGTGCGTGCCCGATGCGGCGACCCCCCCTTGACCCTGGGGGCGTGGGCCTTAGCGGCTCAGTGACGCGTCATCCACCTTGTCTCACATCGGCGCTCCAATGGTGGCTTGCGTGTTGTTCCCAAACCCGTTGCCACCCCACATCAGACTGCACTCCTTTCGTCTCGAACT